CAATAAGTAACTGACTGTTTCTCTCCTCTCTCCATGCTGCTGCTGGAGCTGCTCTCAAAAAGAGCCTGCCCTCCCCCATCCCTGTGTCATCTTACAGACTTTTTCTTTGAACTGAAGGTTAATTTCTAAAAGTACCAATTTCTACTGAAATTTGCAATTTTTGTAAAATTAAAAGGAGGACACAGTCCTAGAGGAGCATTGGGCAAACTTGAAGTGTGGGATACAGGCGCATCACAATATATTGATATTTAGCTGCTGTGAAACACTCTAAGGGGCACTCCTATACCCTACAATTATTATGATCAAAAAAACAAACAAAACTCAGTGTTTAGGTGATATATCCCTCCTCCTAAACTCACAAGTAAGAGTGCGGCACTATGGTATAAGTATTTACTTACTCTTCAATATGGTTTGAAGGGACAGCATAAACATGGAAGCAAAAAAACAAAAAGGAGCATACATAGAGTAGTATTGTAAAGCCTTACTGGTATAGTAAATTGTTGTAATTTCAACTCACATTTATTAGAGCCTTTTAAGATATAGGCTCTAAACAAACAGGTGTTTGTGCACTTATCAGGTGGCAACCAGACCTTGTTCTCCAACTTCTAAGTGGTACTTGGATGATGGTATAAAGGCCCAAAAAGATAAAGGTATAGCAGAATCCAAGAGCAGTGTGTCAATGTGAGTACTTATGGTACATATACACTTGTCAGAATTCTTGCTCACATTGTTAAGAGCCTGTAAACCTGGATCTTAGTGTGAAAGCCTTGTGTTGATATTTTGGGATGGCACCCCCCATTCAGAACCAGGAAAAGAAGATGCTCCGTGCAACCAGATGGGATTTAAAATGTATATTAACTATTTATTTAATAAATGAATAAAATCTTAAAAACATAAGCATAAAAATAAATATTAAGTCCAAGTAGAACCTCTCCTCTCTTCATAGACGCGTTTCACCCTCCTGGGACTTTCTCAATCAGCATGAAGGGGGAATACAGGGGAATTGGCTGCAGGGGGACTGTCTGGGTTGACATTTCCACTTAGGGGTGTACTCACTTTTGTTGCCAACGGTTTACACATTAATGGTTGTGTGTTGAGTTATTTTGAGGGGACAGCAAATGTACACTGTTATACAGGCTGTACACCTACTACGTTACATTGTAGCAGAGTGTCATTTCTTAAGTGTAGTGAAGAAAATACACATATATATATATATATATATATATATATATATGAAACGATATAATAAAATATTTAAAAAAATGTGAGGGGCGTACTCACTTTTGTGAGATACTATATATATATATATTGGCTGCAAGGGGACCACATGGGTTGTGCTCCCAACATATAACTAAAAAAAAGAATCTAATTATACATAAATAATACATGTCATACACGTATACACTTACAATGAAATTGTATATATAATATAATTGCATTCTAATGTATTTTGATATATATCAAAATACACTTAGAATTAAATTTTAACTTTCTACGGGGTCAAAAACTGCAGTGTTTTACATTGCAGGGATAGAATGATAGGGTCATTGAGATGAAGTGGTCTGGGTCACTATAGTATATTTCTAATGAAATCTCATCACTTTTTTGTGTTTCTTTAATCACTTATATTTGTAAATGGGAATACTGTAGAGTTGTAGACACTTGTGTATTCATAGAGAGAGTGCAATTGGTCAGTCATTTCGTGATATTAGCACACGTTAGGCAATGTTCTTGTGTCTTGAAGACTGTTCGGTATGATCGTTTCTACTTTGTGTGCAGTAATGTGTACTGCTGTTCGGTTACTATGTATATGACTGTTCTGTAAGATTTCTCTAAGCATGGGTTACATGCTATTTACAGATTTTTGATCATATTACTGTTGTTCATGATTCATATATGTGTGCATGTATATATGTATGTATGAGCCCGCTGTAATGGTTGTAGTACCGGAAGTGCCCTGGTGCCATCCTAGTGTGAATTGTCAAACTGAATGTTGACCAGCTCAGTAGAGCTGAGTGTCTTCTTGTAAAGGAGAAGATGGAAGGAAGGACCATGGCATGTTGTCTACCATACACTGGGACAGCGCCCGGGTAGTCCTAGCACCATAATTATTATTGCAGGCTCTTTTATGTCCATTGCTATTGTTTACAACCAACACCAGGTCACTATAGTGGCCAAGCATGGTGATAGTGACCAAAAATCTAATTCCAATAGGATTATAAATCGGAGAGAGTTCTTCTTCTTAATCCAGACCACTAAGAAATAATTTCTGCATTCACGTGTGATGATTCTGCGATCAGAGTACTGTAGCACGTTTAGAAAATGAAATTAGTTTAGATAATTTTTGCCCGAGGTAGAACTACTAACTTTATCTTTTATTTCTTTATTTCTAAAAGTATTATTTTCTAGAATCAAGTTATGTTATTCACACTGATTTGGTTGCACGTCTGCAACCAAGTGACACCATAGCTTCTGGAAGGCAGATTTCTACTGCTTAGTAACCCTGGTAAACTTTGAAGTGATCTTTTTTATGTACACTACTTTAGTACTTTAATATGTACTGTTAACTCTTCACTGATTTTTTTTTTTTTAAGGTTTTATTTTTATTTATTTTAGATTTTTTAGTAGTTAGTAGTTACCAGTGCACTAATATTATTTCTTAAGGTGTCTTCCCCACCACAGATGTTCAAATTAAAAGTCTGCAGTTTTTAAATGCAGCTATTGGGAATTCTGAAGGTTCTTCAAAGGTTAACATTTAACTGCGGTTTATGTAAAAGCACAGACGTTTTGCTTTCGGAATGTGTTTTTCACAGCAGATTTCTTTTTTAAAGTGTCCTTACCACATTTTGAATTACAGGCTTTTTGATGGATATGCTCTCCCTGTTTACATCATCTCCATGCCATGTGCAAAGAGTCATTTTTTGTACTGGAAAGTTAATAGAGATGTGGCTTCCATCTCCATCAAGTACTTCTAGATAGGTCCCAGATAAACACTTTATTCGATAGAGTTTGCAAGTGTGTTACAGTGAAGAAAATCTTCGAAAGCTGGGGATAAACAAGGAACATCCACTACATATACACTACATATGTCTTGCACTAGTGTACTTCATTATTATTATTGTTATTTGTATAACGCCAATTTATTTAAAATATTATAAAGGGTGGCATTTAACAAATGAGACACACTATTAAAATCGTGATGAGAAGAAATGAGTTGATGAAGAGCCTGCTCGAACAATCTTACAGTCTAGAGGACCCTTTGTTTTTAGACTTGTCTAATAACAGTGAATATGTCCTGGATCTTGTACTGTCAGCCCAGATAGCAGTTCCTAATTAAAGGAACACTATAGCATTAGGAATACAGAACCCTAGCTCTCTATAGGTTCCCTCCCCCCACTTGCAATAAAAATGGATCAAGCATGGCATCCTCTATGATGGAATGTTTCTCATAGAGGAGCATTAGGGATCTAATGAGCATGCAAGGCAAATCTATGCTTTCCTGTGGGGGCTTCCGCGTCACTTGACGTTTTTCTAGATCTGTGTGCAGTGGAAGAGCCTCTAGTGGCTGTTAGTATGACAGCCATTAGGGGAGGACTTTATTTCTTAGTTTCTAAAAAAGTGCAGGGCCACTGAGATAAAGTGGCCTGGGTTACTATAGTGTCATTCAGAGAGGACTGTTTTTCCATGTGTTAGCAGTTTAGATCAGGAAAATAACGTGGGGCTTTGGAGAAGAGTTGTATGAGTTCTGCTGGAGGGTTATCAAGAAGAACAACATGTGTATAAGAAATTCAACCATGTCTTAATAAGCATTAGGGATGTGCATGGGCAAAAAATTCGGTTCGGCAGTTCCGAAATTTGGGACTTCGGCAATTCCCTAACCCTAACCCCTACCCCTAAGCCTACCTCTAACTCTAACCCTAACCCAAACCCTACCCCCAACCCTAACCCTACCCCCTAATCCTAACCACTACAACCACTTACACATCTAGGGTTAGGGGTAGGGTTAGGGTTGCGGTTGAGTGTAGGGGTAAGAGGCTAGGGTTAGGGTTAGATTCCTGTCATTATTCCCATAATTTTCCCTCCCTCTCTTGTTTTGCCACTTTTCAGAAATCTGAAGCACTTCAGCACTTCCAAAATTTGGCACTTCAGCAATTCGGTTCGATTCGGCCACTCCAAAATTCGTCACTTCAGCAATTCGTCAATTCGATTTGGTTCGGCACTTCCGAAATTTGACAATTCGGACATTCGGAAGCATCCAAATGTCCGAATTGACGAAATTCGTCCGAATTTACATCTGGAACTAAACGAATTGCACATGTCTAAAAGCATTCACTGGCGTGCCAAGGTACTTCTGTGGATATCATCGTCAGGTCTTCTCTCTCTGTCCAAGAGAGCTTTAGATAAGTGACTAATATGTTTTTATCCTTTTTACAGGTGTTTAGTGGGAATGTGCTAAAAAAGAAGTACGTATAACAAGCTGCTTAGAAAGTGAGAAATTCAAGATCAATAATTAATAAGCAGCTCAAAACACTCAAGATATATCACTTGATCTCCTATAATATGAGCTGTGAAAAAGAGTGGAACGCTTAGATAATGTTTTGCATATGTGGGAACTTCCAATGAGAGTGATACCAAAATATGTGCGATAAAGTGCTAAAAGTGCTATAGAATATTAATAGTTAAAAAATGAACTGTTTGCATGATC